TATACTCCCGATGAGCACTCTGAACATTCTCCCGCTCAAAGATCAGCTGGATGAGTGCTCTGAAGGAAGAAGTACCAACTGACTCCTTGATTGAGCTCTCAACAACACTAAGCCGGCTTTATTGCAATCCATGGTTGACAAAATCAACTCGATGCAGCAGTCGTGGACGGCCTCCAAAGATCAGCCACCTTTCAAGGGTACGCGATGAACTTCATGCTCAACATTACCTCGAGCGGCAAAGTCGAGAACCAGTGCTACTATTCGACAGGTATGTCAATCAAAGATGTCCCCACTGGGTGTCCCAACGGGCCGAAGCCCTCTTCTACTTCTGATGACGAAACTCGCCTCCTCGGACCCACAAAGCCGGAATTGAAGGACTTACCAAGCAACTTCGACGCTCGGCAGAAGTTTGCCTCTTGTGCTGGAGTCATTGGGCATGTGAGGTAGTCCTCTCTACTGCTGTTATGGTAGTTCCTGGATGGAGGTCCATCTTTCAGAGATCAAAGTGCTTGTAACAACTGCTGGGCTGTAAGCCCAACCGGAATGCTCAATGATCGTGTGTGCATCAAGTCCGGCGGTAGCTTCAGAGATATCCTATCTGTCGGTTACTTCACTTCATGCTGCAATCCTGCTAATGGATGTCCCAAGTGAGAGAAATGCATTCAACCACGGGCGATAGCAATGCGTTCTCTGAATGACAGCTAAGATTTACTTCATCTTCAGAGCGAGGGGCTGTCAGGGTGGCAACCTGTTTGAAGGTCTGAACTTCCTGAAAAATCATGGCATTGTTACTGGTAAGAATATTCAACTCAGATCACTCAAGTTGGGTGAGTTTGAGACCGGCATCGACTCCTCTTCGGATTAGCATCACTTGTAGCCTTCGTAGGTGATGAATTCAAACCGGCCAGGCAACTGAGTAGCGCTGATGGCTGCTGGCCGTATCCATTCCCGAAGTGCAATCATGTACGCTCGGCGGCAAGCAGATATCCCGCATGTCCGGCAGTAAGTGTAACATAGGGTTCCTCGTAGCGTCATCACATGGTGGTGGATTCTCTAGTCGTAGGCGGGTTACTCCTCTCCTGCATGCCAAACAAAATGCACCAATAAAGCATACAAGACCAGCCTGCAGCAGTAGGAGCACACCAGATGGAGACTTCATATTCACTCTATATCAGAGATCTTCACCGTGCTAAGAGCTTTGGCCGTCTACCAGCGTCCCCCAGAATATCAAGCA